AAGCCTATATGGAGATCTTACTGCCGAGTCTTCCTTCTGCTCCTTCAGGGATCCCTCTACCCGGTCCTGGCCCCTGGGGGGCAGAGCAGAGGAAGGCGAGGATGAGGAAGAGGTGGGATCCTTCCCTCAGCCGGTCGATGATTACTTCGTGGAGCCCCCTCAGGCTGAAGAAGAGGAGGAGGAGGAGGAGAAAAGGGTCCCACCCCCCAGTTCCCACACTCCTGTCATGATCAGCAAAGGTGAGGCAGTCTCCCTGGCGATTTGGGGGCAGTTTGGAGTTGCTCCTGGGAGTGACCTGGTGTGAGGGACCCAGCTGGAGTAGATTAGCCTCTGACAAAGGGGTGATTGGAGGGGGAGGGGTCATTCTGTGGACCCTCGGGGTCATTTCCGCAATACCTTGAAGATAGCGTGATAGGTCCCAGAATGTTGCCAGGCAACGACTATCTCTAAACTGGATGCCCTGGTCTCTGGTGCATCATGGGAAATGTACTTCCCAGAGAGGAAAACTGACCTGCCTGTCCGATCCTTTGTCTTGCAGTCACTCCCACCCCAAGGCCCACTGATGGTGTGGATGTTTACTTTGGCATGCCTGGGGAAATCAGCGAGCATGAGGGTTTCCTGAGGGCCAAGATGGACCTGGAGGAGCGGAGGATGCGCCAGATTAATGAGGTGACCATACCAGGAAACCCGACATCACCACATGACTCCAAAAATACAGGGGACTGGAACTCACTCTGTAGACCAGGCTGGCCTCGAACTCACAGAGATCTGACTGCCTCTGCCTCCAAAGTGCTGAAATTAAAGGAATGGGGAATTCTTTATTGACACTACCTTTAAAGAGCACCTAATCATCTGTCTACCTGAACCCTCAACACCACCCTCTAAGATGACGTTGGACTACTGATCTGCCTAGCTGATCATTGAAATGCCACCAGATGCTATAGACACTCTGGTCTATGGCACAATCCACTTTAAATTCCCAGGGAGTTGGTTGGGCATAATTGCACATGCCTTAATCTTGACTCTTGAGAGCCTGAGGTATGAGAGGTCCAAGGCCAGCCTCAAATGCATAAGGAGTTTGAGACCTGCCTGGGCTACATGAGAACCTGTCTCAAAAACAAAAAACAAAACAAAACCCTCAAAATCCTCTGGCTATTCCTTCTTGGGAATCCAAAGTCCAGTG